TACAAATACAAATTAAACAATTTCATATTTCTTTAACAATTTTGCTTTTATCATTTTTTAAAAAGAATTAATTAATCCAATGGTTTTATAATAATTTTCCAGATGAATCCATAGTTTTGTACCTTTTACTGAAGTGCATCTGTGCTTCAAATTTGTTCAGATTTTCGGTTTAACAAATGTAAAAAAAAAAAAAACAGGATTCAAAAGCATCATGTCTACTTTAATGAAACCTGGGAGAATATTTGAAATGTTTACAACCTAAAGTTTACCACAGAAACAAACTGGACTTCCTCTGAACGTATTTATTGAGCTTTAAGAACTTCTTTCTGCTCTCTTGCAGGAGATGGCAGCTGTAAAGGAATTTATCGAGAAGTATTTGCCCCGGATCTGACCTTCACCTCGTTCCCACTGTGACCCCGCCCCCTCCGAGACACTGACGTCTGACCCCGCTATTATTCCTGCAGGAAACAGCCATGATCACCCCCCCCCACACCCACCCAAACACACACACACCAGTCATGAATCAGATAAATAATCCCACTCAGCTCAGAGGAGCTTCTCATACGGTCCGACCTGAAAACACTCGTGAGTCTCGGCCTTCGGGGGAGAAACACCGACTCTCGCAGCACATTCCCCTTTTTTTAATTTAATTTTATTTATTCTGTTGCCTTGATTCTTTTTTTTATTTTAATCCGCTCTGCTTTCTTTAATCAGCTTCCATCAGCTGCGGCTCAAACGATTGGGAAACCAGCAGAAAGGCCGAGTCAGACCAGATTTATTCACTTCCTTTACTTCAGGCGGTGACATCACTTCTGCAGGGAGGAGAACTCAAACACATGTCAGACATGAGAGCTTCTCACAGAATCGGGCTTCAATCAAACGTTTCTATTCTTATAATGTTTGATCTGAAATATTTCTCTTGGGTTCATGAAGCTCCTTTAACTGTCCGAAGCTTTGAGTTTTACTGCGAAGCTTATTGGTGCGAAACGTAGCAGCAGGTGTTTTAAAAGTCGGATTAGTTATGCCCATCACTGCTGTTTATGTCCTTCAACATGACTGCAGCACTTCAGAGTTAGATTTTTACCTTTAATCTCAGATTAWAAGAGTGTTTTCAGCTGCTGCACGGACCCAAAGGTTCTGACTCKGCTTGTGGGAGAGCTGGTTTTCCACCTTTACCTGTTCGTATCCATTCCACCCCCTGCAGCCTGTCTGGGTCTAATAGAAACACACGCTTTCTGTTTCTGAGCCTGCATGGACCGGACCTGACCCGACCCGACCCGGCAGGAACAGAACCTCCGTTAGTTTCGGTCTGAACGGCTGACTGACCCACACAGACGGCACATGACGAGTCGTTTCACTGTAACCCCGCTTCCATCAGTTTGAGCCTAGCCCCGCCCCCCAACAGCCCCGTCACTTTTTATTCCAGAGAAGCTCTCAGCTGCTGAAACCTGCTACTAAACGGTCAGATTTAAAGCAGAACTGCTGAAATAGGGAGAAACAAATTTTAAACCATTAATGTTGAACAACTTGTAATCTTTGGAGTGTAACTCTGAGGACAGGATTGTCCTTAATATTTAAAATATGGGTGTTTTTTTAAATATTTTTTTCCTTTTGTGGATTTTTGCTTGCCTCGTGGTTAAATATTTTTCTTTTCTTGAATCTAATTTTAGGACTAAAATATTTTCCTAAAGAAGGAAAGACGTTTGCTTTGATTGTTCACAAATAAAAGAATGTCTCACCTCTTTGACTTGTTTTTTTTCCCCTCWTCTGAATTTCTGCCCTGCCTTTCACTTCTTTCTCGGGTTATTTTCTTTTGCTAGTTTTGTATGTTTTGTTGGGTTTTGTTGTCACCTCATTTTTTTGTTTTTGTTTATGAAAATGAGCATTAAGATGTTTTCAGGTGAGACTGCTGGTCTCTCCACTTATTGTTTCTAAAACACCTGTCTGCAAAATAAATGATCTAAACAAACAAACAAAAAAATGTCCGAGTTGTTTTATCTGGATTTTTTAATTTTGTACAACTTGAAAACAAAAAGGGAAATAAACAATGAGTGGTAAAATATTCAGGGTCATATATACTTAAAAAAGATCCTCTTAATAATAATAATACAATTTATTTGAAGTCGCCTTTCATGGCACTCAAGGACACCATACTATTAAAATGCAATACAATAAAACATTGAAAATACCAATAAAACATCATGCATAACAATTAAAAAATAAACATTCTACATAATAAAATACACTAAGTTATATAAACTTAGCATCTTTTAGTTTTTTATTATGAGATAAACCTTCCCACAGTGGGGGATGAGCTTCTTTGTAACGGTAAACTCCGCCCGGTAAAAAGTTCAACCAATCAGGGGCGCTGAGTGAWGGTGGGCGGGACTTCTTCTTTGAAAGAAAGATTCGACGACTCGTCGCCATTTTGAAGTCCTGCGAAAAGCAGCGCTAGGTGTAATTTCTCAGTAATTCTTTAGAGATTTTCGTTTAATCACCCTTTTTATTCGTTTCCCCCGACGATTCAGAAAGAAATGTCAGGATTCTACAACCGCGGTGGCTTCGGGATGAACAACTACCAGCCACGAAGAGGCGGCGGGCCCGGCGGGCCCATGCGTGGCTCGCTGATGGGAAACCCACATTTCAGGAGCCATCCTTTCCAGAGTCCGAACCAAAACCGGAGGGGAAGCGGCAACTTCAACAGACCGCAACATCAGGGCAACCAGAACGCGCAAAATAAACCGCAGCAGAACCAACCGGGATCGGTCTCACCGAGTCCCGGTCCGGCTCTGACGATGAAAGGCCCGATGGAGCAGAAAACGAMCCCCCCTGCGACCCAGCCGAAGGTCCAGGTTTCAACACCCAAACCCGAAGTGACTGCCCCTCAAAATAACCAGACGACCCCAAACCAGGGAACCCAGAACCAGCAACAGAAACCCCCGGCTAATGCTAATGCTAGCGAGAAGAAAGAGCCACCTCAACAGAGCCCGAAGCCAGCGGGCCCCCAGCAGCAGGCCCCAAAGCCTGCGCCCCAACAAAGCCCAAAGCCCGGAACTCCGCAGGGCCAGAAGCCGGCTGGGGGTGGACCACAGCAGGGCCAGAAGCCGGCTGGTGGTGGACCACAGCAGGTCCAGAAACCTGGTGGGGGAGGACCACAGCAGGTCCAGAAGCCTGGTGGACCACAGCAGGGCCAGAAGCCTGGTGGGGGAGGACCACAGCAGGTCCAGAAGCCTGGTGGACCACAGCAGGTCCAGAAGCCTGGTGGACCACAGCAGGTCCAGAATCCGGGTGGGGGTGGACCACAGCAGGTCCAGAAGCCTGGTGGGGGAGTACCACAGCCGGTCCAGAAGCCTGGTGGGGGAGTACCACAGCAGGTCCAGAAACCGGGTGGGGGTGGACCACAGCAGGTCCAGAAGCCGAGTGGGGGTGGACCACAGCAGGTCCAGAAGCCGGGTGGGGGTGGACCACAGCAGGTCCAGAAGCCGGGTGGGGGTGGACCACAGCAGGTCCAGAAGCCTGGTGGGGGTGGACCACAGCAGGTCCAGAAGCCGGGTGGGGGTGGACCACAGCAGGTCCAGAAGCCTGATCTTCAACAGACCCCTAAACCTGATTTCCAGCAGGGCCAAAAACCCAGCCCTCAGCAAACCCAGAGACCCGGTCCTCAGCAAAACCAGAGRCCCRGTCCTCAGCAAAACCAGAGACCCGGTCCTCAACAGAACCAGAGACCCGGTCCCCAGCAGAACCAAAGACCYGGTCCYCAGCARAACCARAGRCCYGGTCCTCAGCAAAACCAGAGRCCCGGTCCTCAGCAAAACCAGAGACCYGGTCCTCAGCAGGACCAGAGACCTTTTCCCCAACAAACTCAGAATCAGGGATCTACAAAAGAACCTAAAACCGAGTCTGATGGCAGCCAAGACCAGGTAGGTTTAATTATAAACACCGCTTCACCCGGGCGGGCGGGGTTAGTGTAGCAGAAACGGTGGAYGAATGCTTCCAGCGTAGAGTTTAGATGCTGTGCCGGGAGAGGCYGGGGATAAAACCCAACGCTCCAGTCCTGGTCTGGTTTAAAGCCAAGATGGCTGCGGAGAAAAACTACGTTTATTTAATCAAGTAAAAAAAAAAAAAAAACGAAACGCACGATGACTTCGTTTGTGTCAGAACTATGTACATTTACTGACATAGAGTCGAGAGCTAGAGTTTTTATAAATAATAACATACATACATAATAAATAAAATAATAAGCAACATTTTAATAAAGTATTGGGGGATGGGGAATGAAAGAAAGTCGACGTTTTTAAAATTTATTAAAAGAAATGCTGTCTTATCTAAACTATTTCAAATGTAGTATTTTCAGATTACGTAATAATTTTATTTATTATGCACTTTTTCAGCAGTCTCAAAGCACTACAATCAAAAACAATTCATATAAAACAACCATAAAATACAGATTTCACGTTAAAAGATGAGAGCAAAATGCATGAAATCAAAAGCAAATCATTAAAAACATTGAGTAAAAAGAAAGTGAATGTATTTTTGCCGCGTTCATGTTATAATATTGTTCATCGACAGGGCTTCAAGGCCTCTCTGTCCATGCTGCTGAAGCCTGGGGAGAAGTCGTACACCCAGAGGTGCCGTTTGTTTGTTGGAAACCTGCCGAGTGACATCACAGAGGAGATCATGAGAAGGATGTTTGCAAAGTACGGAGAGCCCTCTGAGGTCTTTATCAACAAAGGGAAAGGATTTGGATTCATCCGTCTGGTACGTCACAACCCGCTTAAACCATCATATTTATTTTACTCTRGATTCAGATTTGTCAGTTGATCTCAACCTTTGTCGTTTGTATTCCAGGAGTCCAGAGCGCTTGCAGAAATAGCGAAGGCAGAGATGGACGACACGCCGATGCGAGGCAGACCGTTGCGTGTTCGTTTTGCCACGCACTCTGCAGCTCTGTCTGTGAAGAACCTGTCTCCTTTTGTTTCCAACGAGCTCCTGGAGGAAGCCTTCGCCCAGTTCGGGGTGCTGGAGAGGGCTGTTGTTGTTGTCGATGACCGTGGACGCTCCACAGGCAGGGGGATTGTCGAGTTTGCTTCCAGATCCGCTGCCAAGAAGGCCCTGGATCGTTGCAATGATGGGGTCTTCCTCCTCACAACGTAAGCTCCGCCTCACCTTTTTGCACCTGGACTCAGGCTTTTACAGTGAAAGAGACTCAGGCCTCGTTTGTTTTTCTTTTCAGGTCCCCTCGTCCTGTAATTGTTGAGCCTCTGGAGCAGTTTGACTGTGACGATGGGCTTCCAGAGAAACTGGCACAGAAGAACCCGAAATATCAAGCGTAAGCAGCACGTTGTTGTTTTATAAACCGTTTACGTCTACCTGTTGCGTTGACGCAGATTTATCAGACTTTGTGTTGATTGTGTGTCRACAGAGAGCGTGAGCACCCTCCCCGCTTCGCCCGCCCCGGCACCTTTGAGTTTGAGTATTCCAAGCGCTGGAAGTCTCTGGATGAGATGGAGAAGCAGCAGAGGGAGCAGGTGGAGAAGAACATGCGTGAGGCTCGTGAGAAGCTGGAGAGCGAGATGGAYGACGCTTACCACGAGCACCAGGCTAACATGCTCCGTCAGGGTAAGTTTTTAATGTTTAGTTTTTCAGAGCATTGTCTTTGTAACATCCACGTCGTGTGTAGAGAATCGTGATTAAGTCCTGTTTTTCCTGCAGAGCTGCTGAGGCGACAGGAAGAACTGAGGCGCATGGAGGAGATGCACAATCAAGAGATGCAGAAGAGGAAAGAAATGCAACTAAGGTGCTTTTATTTAGTTTATAATTTGAGGTGCACTTATTCTTTTTTTTTTTTTTGTCTTTGCACAATAATTAGATGCCACTATACTGCAACCACAGCTGGTGTCTTAAATTTAATTAATTAATTTTTAACAGACAAGATGAAGAACGACGCAGGCGTGAAGAAGAGATGCTTCGGAAGAGAGAATTGGAGGAACARATGCGCCGCCAGCGTGAAGAAAACTACAGGATGGGCAACTTCATGGATGTAAGTTCAATCTGACGTGGAGGTGAAATTAAAGTGTTTGGTTCCGGTTTTTTTATCTACTTACTAACCTTAATAACCTGTCTCTGCAGAGGGAGATGAGAATGCACACCAGTGGAGCTTTGGGYGTAGATGGTAAGTTTGTCTTTTAATGGGGTTGGTTTAAAATAGGGATCAATCAATTAATATCAAATTGATATCAAAGGGATATCAATTAATGGCCGTGTCTCAATTCATGGGCTGGGTCATCCTTCGGTCCGTGGTGAATTTCCAAACTCTACSGACTCGTTAAAAAAAAGAACTTGCTGTCCGCGCATTGAATCCTGGGATATCCTCGGCTGGTGAGGATACACGGATGCATCCTTGGATTTCGAGTTTGTCAGCCGCATGATGATGAGCCTTCGTTTTGGGACAGTCCTCGGCGCGGTGCGGTGACGTATGCGGCTGACAAATGTGCACTCATGAGGACCCAGCCCCTGAATTGAGACACGGCCAATGATTCATCTAAAGTTAACTGATCAGAAACCGTTGTTTGATACGTTCTCTTGTATCGAGGGATGAACTTGTTTTGTTTTGATCAGACATGGCCTTTGGAGGAACCAGYCAGCAGTTTTCAATGAGCAGTCTCAGCTATGAGGGCCAGTCCGGGTTGGGATCCTCACCATCAAGCATGATTGGCAACGAAATGGTAACGTATCCCACTTTGGGAAGATGAATAYTTTATATGTTTTGTTGGAGAGACTCCCAGGTGATTGTAAACAAGGAGGTAATCTGGTCCACAGAAGGATGGGAGAACATAGCTGCCCTCTGAAAGGCTTGAATGTTTCAGATCTGCTGCCCGCTTGTAAATTCATTTAAATTTTATTTTCAATGCAAGCCATCCCCCCTAGGTTGCTCTCAAAATAATCAAAGTACAGCACGGTCATCCTGCACTAAATCATCCCACTGCTCTGWGTTTATGGCAGCTCGCTCTGCTCACTTTAAACCAGCGTTTGTATTGTAGAAGACTTTGCAAGCCCTGTCTCCTGTGATCTGGACAGGCACCTCCTCTGGCTGGACGGCAGAATGAAATATCTCTACTGCAACATGTTTCCATTATAATGAAACACACAAACGCATGTATCTGTGGGTGGGGTGATGAGTCGGGGACCTGAAGTAGGGCTGTACTTTGTCTGCTCCAACCTCCACCTGATCTTCATGGTAACTGAGCTGAAGATGCTTTWAGTGCAGGATGATGGTAAAAACCTATAAAAAATAAGTTTTATTGTTTAACTGATGGGGGCAGGTGCAGCATGTTTAGTACATGGGTGTGTGCACGGCTGGATCAGATCTATTCTTTTGAAAGTATCATTGATCAGATCCCAGGTTTGCTCTCAGATTATAGTTTTCATGTTAGAATGTAAAACTAAGTAAATAATCACAAACTGTGCTAAATGTCTGGTGTTTTATATTATCACCTGTAAGTCCGCTGGCGGCATTGAGCTCAAAGCTTTTCTGGTTACAGTTTTGTATTTTTTTTGTCCAATGATGTTTAATTTTAGCTTAAAACTATTTTTCAGTAAAATAACTTAAGAGATGCACCGATTCCACCCGTTTTATTGAAGCTGTTGGATGAAACCGTTTGTCATAGATCTGTTCTGAAAACGTCTGGTATATTTTCCCTCAAATACACTTCTGTCATGTCTGAAACAGTGTTTTAGGATCCATAAAGAGTTTTCTCTTTGGAAATCAGGCTCCAGAGTTGATGTTTATGTTTTGCATGTTCGTCTCATTGTTTACGTAATTAGCTAAACATGGATGCTACACGTTAGCATGTGGATTCTGAMGTTGTTGTGCTATCAGAGAAGGTTAAATAATTAACCTGYTTGTTTAGTTCARTGTTTATRTTGRAACCTGCTTCACCGGATGCTCYGGTGCAGCATTTTATTTTTGGATCACAGCAATGTGCTAAAAGAAAAGTACCGATCGAGCAACTTCTGCATCAATATGGTCCGTGACCATCATACCATCAAATGTTTCTGCAGATCCTCTCATCCAGGATGAGGACAATTAAAGGAACAAAGCAACTGTGCTTCTGTTCTGTACTGAAAAAGAAAATCAGATTTGTCATGTTATATCTGATATGAGTCACATGAAGCAAAAAAAGGATTTGGTTCACTTTGCCTGCAGTGTGAGTGTAGCCGTAAACTTTATGACCTCACATCTCCAAGTGTGATGGACTAGATAAGAATAATGAGTTACAGCTTCTGCATTTGTGCTCCATACTGCCTTGAATAGAGATGGTTTGTTTTATTTATTTATTTATTTTAGGAAATGGGTGTCCCATCACGTCAAATGGAGGATTAAGTCAAATTTGTTCAACATGACCTCAGCACATTTTCAGATCCATAACGTTTTTAGATTTGTTTTGATGCATCTGAATGTAGCATAAATTTATCAGCTACATTGCTAAGCACACATTAAAAACAGATTTTTTTGGTGTTTGAAGAATTTCCAAACTACTCAATTATCTTTGTTTTTTTCAGCGCCAAGAGGTTTATTCTGTTTAGTTTGCTGWCGGCACATTGACTCCTGGGATATAATTTGCCTCGTAGGATGCTGATATGCAGCTTACATTTAGTTTTGTCTGCCTGTGGCATGGCTCCGTGATGTAAGGGACAACTGCACCCTTTGTGGGCTGCAACCCATGATTTGAGACACAGACATGGTCGGCTCCACATTCTTTGGTGTAATTTTGTGGCAGCATTACAGCGCCACATACAGGCCTGATGGTTATTACAGAATATTTATATTACTGTACAGGACGGGAGTAGGTAGTTGCTAGCTACGTGGAGCTCTGCCATGCTTTGACGAGCTGTCAATGCATTGTGAGGCGGGTCCTGAACAACTTTTATTTCTTGCTCTATTTTTATATATGAAACCCAGTCCAGTAATCTAGATCATTGGTTTTTACACCAGTCTGTATTCCTGTAGTCGTTTTCACTAGATGCACAGAGAAGATGGTCTTAAGGTGTCCTCCAACCGGTCGTACCAGTCTGAGTCAGMCACAACCTGTTGACACATGTACTTTCAGAAATGAAGCAGTCTTTGGTAAACAAAGAAAATGTGAGAAAATAACTTTGTTGTTGACATTCAGCACYACACATGGATGTCTTCACTCGTCTCTTTTAAAAGCTGATGAATTGTCTCAGGTCAGGAATCCTGATTGTGGTTTAAAGTTTTTTTTTTATTCAAAGTTGCCGTGCATCATCTCTGATCTTCTCCAGTTTCTTGTTGTTTAGGCTTTCAGTGCTGCGACCTTGTCATCACTACATCACATCAAGGAGCTGCTGCAGCTCTGGTACTGCCTTGCTCAGTGGTTAAAGGCACAAACAGCCTTTTTTCTGCTCAGCCATGAGCCTGGAATTTGCATTTCTGTGTTACTGTCTGTATGAAACCATATCATGGGTGGGGTCTGTGATGGTGGCGTTAAAACCTTAGTTTTGGCATAACTTTATACAAGKRTTTGTAACTTGGACCGTTTAAGGCTGTGGTTCCCAAAATTATGATTAGAACTCCACTGGGGTTCTAAAACACAGATTAAATAGGACTTGTAAACACAACTCAACATTGATGTTTACTAGGCTGTACAGTGGCAGAAGAACACAGAACAACGATGAGAACTGCTTTTTTATTTTACAGTTTTTACAACATCTGTCCAAACCAGTTAACATTCAGGCCTAAAATACCATAAAATGCCTTAAAAAGTACACACAAATTAAATGAAGTACTGCTTTTGAACCCTGTAGAGTAAATTCACAAGCTTGGTCTCTTTTTAAAGCTAATAATGTGAATTTTTTACTTCATCAGTCATATTCTTTGTAACTGTAACTTGTATTTAGTATATTGAAGTAAAATACACAAAAATCAAGATATTGTTCTCCCTAAATTTTTATTTTTTTTATTAATAAAGTATCACAGAACATGAAGAGAATGAGATCATACAATTTTTACTGGGCTAAAATATTAATTCCCAACTATTACCAGTTCAAATTTGGTAACAGTAGTGTAAAATATGAATATTTGACACACAGTACAATCCAGCATGTCTCATTTGCATATTTGTACACTTGTACAACATGTCCAAACTGTATACTTTGTCTAAAACACTGTAATTTCTACATGCTTCAACACAGGGACTTCACTTTGGGCTCAAATTAAAGATAAAACCCCACAAAACATATTCTACAATCCATATTTACTCACAGCATGATTAAATTAAAAATATATATATTAATGTTCAGAAATAAACCAATATATCCTTATTTCTTTCAGAGCATTAACATTCCACACAGCTTATAAAACCACCAGCAGCGAACAAATATTTGTTTTTCACTCACAGTTGATGCATATTTGTCCTCAAATATGACGAAATTAGCGACTCAAAATGGCCGACCGGAAGTGTTTTTATCCAAACAAAATACTTCTCCTGGCCACAAAAACCACTCTTCCATGTCTTGAAGCACTCGAAACACTTACGATGAAAATATATTTATTATCAGCAGGTTTAGTCAGCTGACTGGACAAAAACGATGGAAAGAAACGTTTTCCTGTGAGCGTACCTTTCTTTGGTAGCGTAGCAAGACTGTCTAAATATGGTGACCTACTCGGTGTTTACCTCATCCGTCACTAAACAAAGTTCCCACCCCCTCAATATATAMACCAAATGAAAGGTACGGTGATTGGCTACACAGCTGTGGCATCAGATCGAAGCTCGGAGCTGACTGGCCAAAWCTACAGTCAATCAAGCCCAGGATGACGGAAACCGGAAGTTGGTCACTTCGCATGTATTATTGGCTCTGGACAGCCGATACTTGAACCTTGTTGGTCAAATGAGGTGTCAATCGAAAGAGGAGGACCTAGACRTCAATTCTGATGCATTGCACACGGACACAGGTTGAACAGAAAAAATAAAACAAAACAAAAATGGCACGCGGGCATTAAGCTGAATGTTATCTGGTTTTAATTCAAAATCGGTGCAGTGCTTTGAAGAATTGATACAGTATCATGAAATAGAATATGACAATCATAGAGTTTCTCCTGGAGTAGCAGGCTGCCAGGCTAACGTTCATCATCGAAGCTAAAAGCTCTAATAATGCCCCTCAGCGTGTAAAAAAAAAAAAAAAACAAGTCATAGTCATCTGTACTCTCTTTAGAGTTGATATAAGTGTCAAAGGTAACAGGAGGTGCTGTTAAACCTGCAACTCAGACTAACAGAGCTGCTCTGTGTTCCACACACATCTAACTCTAATATTTATATCTGTTGTGTATCTAAGCTCTGCCCTTCTTGTTCCTCTACTTTGTTTTAATGAACTTTACTGAAATCCATTGCTGACATTTGAAATTCGATTCAGAACTTTCACGTCAAAGATGTTTTGCATCTGTACTGAGGTTTTATTCCTAAACAGTCATAAAATGATGAAAAATATGATTATAGATTTTAATGACATTTGGGAACCACTGGTTTATGGGTTTCAAGTTACTGGGGAAAGGTCTCTGAACACAAACTGGTTTGTAGAATTACACAGGAACTATCTGCAGGTAGCAGAAAATACTTTGCTTAGTAACTTGGACGGCTTGTTGTTTTGTTGTAACAATCTATAAATGACTTTTGAAGTTGACCCAGAAAACATTAAGCAAATGAATCGGTGCATCTCTAAAGTTTGACTAATTCAGAGTAAATTTACTCTGAGATAAATAAATATTTAACGTCAAATGGCTTTTTTCTCTTCAGGGTGATATGTTCATTGTGTCGTACTGCAAACCACAACATCTCTTTGCTTTAAACACACATTTCTATGTTGGTTTTCATGTATTTGGCATTTAAAGAGCATAACAAGAAGTCTTTTAAAGGTGAATTTGAAGCTGAATTTAAAGGTACTTATTGCAAAATATGAAACCAAACCAAATATTTTCTTTAGAAGCAACACATGATCTGTCAAGACCATCCTGAAGGGCTCTTTCATTAAACTCTAAATTCTTAACATTTCCTGTCATTTCAGCTGTTTGTCGGTGAACAAACACACAGAATATGTTGACCATTGATGAGTAAAAATAAAGTGTGGTTTATTTTGAACGATCTTCGTCACTTTGCAATGAGTATCTTTAACTTTGCTCAGTGTCGACACATTTAAGACAACTTGAACATTTATCAAACATAATTCTTTAATCTAATCTTTTGTATTTTGTTTGACAGCTGATCAGTTTAAACACAGGATCTGTTTCCTGTTATATTGACCAAATATTTTTACATACTGATACAAGTTTACCCTCTAATGCCTAAAGACTTATATATACTCCATGTGTTTATTCAGTAAATGCCTCCACATAGTCTTAGCCATTTATCTGTTGCCATATTTAAAAAGCATCAGTGACTGGTCTGCGTTTAATCATGCTGACCTCATGAGCTGTAGCTTTAAGCTAGCTTTGATATGTACTGGAGAACAGGACATGACAGACGAGCGCAGACTAACGAAAACATTACCCTTTCTTCCTTTTCCGTATGTAACCTGTGGCACCTGTGGACCTTCTAACGGATCGATCGCTTTCTTCGGATGTGTCTCCTGCTGGTTGCTTTGTAAACCTGCTCACGATATTAAAACCCACCTCTGTTGCTACACGTTCACACACCTCCTCTACATGGACATGAACTGTGCGCTGCACGTGCACTGACCCCCTCCCACCCCCGTCTCAAACCTTATTCCTCCTCCCTCTCTGCCCCACTGCAAACTGACCGCCAACAGCGCAACGAGCGCTTCGGCCAGRGCGGTTCTAGAGCGATGGGTGCGAGCGCCCCTGGGTTTAGCAGGGTCCGCGAGGAGTTTGAGGGTCCTCTTAAGAAAGCCCGTTTTTAAAAGCTGCTCTTTGATGCTTCAGGCAGCACACATTGTACAGATGCTCAAGACAAACATTGAGTCCTTTTTCTTGTATTTCAGTTGAAACTGTTGCAGCATTTTAGTCACTCAGATGACTGGTTTTATAATTAAGTCAGTAACTTTTTTTCTTTTTTTAATTTAGTGATGTGATTAGTGTAGGAAAGGTCACCATGGTGTGATCAGTTCTTTCTGACATGTATCCTTTCTGTTCTCCTAGATGTATTATTATCTGTGAACCGTCGTGAAATGAAAACTGTAACTTTCTGATCCTCTTATGGCTGTGTTTTGTGCCATACGTTTGGAGCTGAAGCATGATTATAATAAAGGCACACTGGTTCCATCAGGACAAACTTTCAACATTTTATTCTTTAAGTTAAACTAACCCTGATGCTACGGCAAGTCGTTGGCACAAATGAAATGGAAAACAAGTCTTTGGATGTGGACATGCAACACGTACAACACAAACTGAACACCGTATCGTCTCGAACAACTAAAGCAAGCAGGTTTTTGAACACGGGGCTGCAGTGCAATTAAAGTTACTGTAGTTTACAAAAACACTGATACGTTGTCGGTCCTCACAGTGTGCACAATAACACGTTAAAAACCTGATTAATCRCAGCCTTTTGTCCATCGTTAGCACAGATGAAACAAAATCTCCAGTAGGGTTGGGTGGTATTGATCATTTACATATACGTATAACTTTTAGAAAATACTGCGATGTACGGTACAGAGTGATCTGTGGCGTGTTGATTAAATAGCAATTAATGGAGAAACAGCTGCTTGTGAGCATTTAAATGCGTATTAGTTAGAGAGATGCCTCACACAGAGTCCAGCTGTTTGTTTGACTTAAAACCGTGGCTTGTTGAAGCTGTCACTCAGCACCATCTTTTCAAGACACGGCAGGATAATCGTTCCCATTGATAATCTTAAGAATGCTCAGATTATGGTGATGACTCTAAAGACAATCTGAGAGTGATCTAGTCGGCACAGAAGGACGTCGGGACTGCCCCAATGTCAAATCGGGGACATTCAACATGTTGGATATTTTTGGCCCAATATCACAGCGTGTGGTTCAGCTGAGAACAAACCAGCTCAGAAAGCGAAGAAACATAAGCACGGAGGGAAAAAAAACAATCTATCATAACTCAGCAGAAAGTTAGCTAGACGTTAAGTCATTTTAAATTATTTTTCCTCAGTTTAAAGTCGTCCACAAATGATCAACATTGTTTCTTCCTCGTCTCAAATGTTAAACTCTGAACTCACGTTTCTGTGGAGGTCACGTGAGAAATTTCCTCTGAGATCTGAATTCTCGCGATATTTCAAGAAGTCTCGCGTGATTTCATGTCTGACATCTGAATGTTCATGAATGAAGTGTGTTGTCTCTTCCCGTGTAGAAGCGTTGTTCGATGTGAGGGTACGTRCACCAACAGTGCCTCAGTTGTGCTGCCTCTGCACCCGTGTTGTTGTGCACCTTTGAATTTTTAAAATTCCCCACAGGCTGCACACATCATTCAGTTTGTCAGTCTAGATTTTGTTCTTGTTTATAACATTTCAAAAGTTATAAAGATGGATGTGAGCATCAAGTATTAATGATTAAATTACTGGCGAGGGTTTGTGTTCACCCTGAGCTGAAATCAGAACACGCCTCAGTAATGTTATGGGCCTTCTTCTCAAAGAGCCCCAAATGTTGACGTCCCAGTTTTCACGGCAGCCTTGTGAAAATCTGGACCTTCACCTCCTGTGACTCAGTCATTTTTACACACGTTGATACCAAGTAACAAAAGTTTGATACCGCCCAAGCCTACTCCATAGAAAAGCAATATTTGAAAAGCGTGTGAATCACAATTTATTTACCRGGTATTAGTTTATTTGGCAGGGACCATGCACACAAACAGAACAGAGCATGTCTGATGCATTGCACAGAGTATATAGTTACAGCTAGTTTTCAACTCCAGTCCCTGGTTGGACATTTTTAAACATTAAATACATACAATTTACACATCAAAATACACTAAGAATAACACACTAACTAAATGTTTAAAACTAATTATTRAAGATGGTATGTTGACTTCACCAGGACAAACGGCACGCAGTCACCRCTCTGCTGACTCTTAAAGTGGCAGACCACATTCACAAAGCTGGTATTTGAAAATCTGCGTTGAATGTCAAACTAGACTTTTCCTCCCATCTTATTTATTTGAATAAAACCTTGTTGACTTGTTTCTGATTGTTGCTCTCACATTAGTTTCTTATGAACTCATTTTCACAGAACCGTCACAAACATGATTTATAAAGTGTGTTGGGGTAAAATGACTACGTTTACATGCAGCTCAGTATGTTAACAGGTCTTATTGTGTTGGTGCGGTCGAACTTTCCGTTCTTATTAATTGCCTTTTTAAAACATACATTTTTGCTTTGCTTGTGTTTTAATAAAACAGCAGATCAGTTCTTTAAAACCTGATGTCTGCACATCAACAGAACTTATTCTCAGCTGTGTGAAACATGCATTTATGTACTGGGATTATATATATATATWTTTTAATGCATCAGTATCTAGCCTTTAGGCATTATTGTGGAAGAAAGCGTTGATTAGTTAAGCCATCCCTGAGGCGTCACTGAGGTAAAGGTGTTGGACAGAATAGGGCATTGTTTTGATGCTCTGAAGAGTTAACCTCATTTCCTTCCTGCTCTGAGTTCTAACCAACARAGAGCAAACACTTGAGGAATCAGCATTTTGAGTGTTGAGCAATCTCTGAACCTCTCTGTATTTGTMATGAAGTTTGTAACGTGGTTGCAGAAAGGATTACTGTATTTTTCGGACTATAAGCCGCACCCGCCATTTAAAAAAAAAAAAAMCSSSRAMMWTWA